AATTGGAAATCACACAGCTGAAAGCAATGAATCAACAGCTTCTGAAATAAAACAGCTGCAGAAAGATATAGAAGACCTCAGATTGGAAATGAAAAAATAAATCCCTGAATTGATTTGCATTTTCTCTGTTCAGATCATTTACCCATTTTTAAATCAGATTGTTTGGGGTTTTGCTAATCATTTTTTTAAATGTTCCTTGTATACTTGAGAAGACAGATTTATATTAGGATGTATTATAAATAAATTCTTAAGATAAACTCATCACTTAACTATGAGGATGTGTTTCAAGAAATGTGTTGTTAGTATATTTCAACATTGTAGAGCATACTCACTGAAACTAGGACACCTGTGTTGTCACTATACAATATAATCTTTTGGAATCATTGCCATATGTAACCCATTGTTGACTGAAATATTGTCATATGGCATACAACTTTCTTAGTCACTTTTCTGCTTGCTGGAACAGAATACCAGACACCTGCTGCTTGGCTCACAAGTTTCAGTTGTTGAGCAAGGCTTAAAAGCACAGAAGGGCCTGGCCCTCTGCTGCAACTTTGTATGTGGGAATCTATCCATTTCCTCTGCATTTTCCATCTGATTAAAACACAAGTTTTCAAAGTAGAGATGGATGATTTTCTGGATTTCTGCAGGGTTGTGATTTCACCCTTTTCATTCCTGTGAGATTTTGAGACTTTTTTTTTTGTTTTGTTTTTGTTTTTTTTTTTTTACAAAATTAGATAAAGGTTTGTTGATCTTACTTAAATCTTTCAAAGAACCAATTCTTTAATTTGTTGGTTGAAGAGAAAAAAAATATTGAAAAGTAGAAGAGGTAGAGGAAGGTAGGCCAAATAGACAAAGGATAATTCTGCAGATAGACTCCCCATGTGATCCAAAAGAAACAATTCTCTTGTTGGGGATATAGCTCAGAGGCCTAAGTGCTTGTCTGGCAAGCACAGGGTCCCGAGTTCAATCTCTGATACTGCAAAAGAAAAAGTTCTCTTTCCTCATCACCAGAATGTTCAAAAAAAATTTTTAAGTAAGAAATTTAAATTCATGGGTTCTTAGTATCTTTCTTTGATACACTCTTAAGAAATAAAACTCGTGCTTATTGCTGCCAAACAGGCAAGCAACCTATATAAGCACCACAGAATTTCCTCGTAAACTGTCCTCCAGCCTGACAGGGAAAATGGTGGGAAGAGGCAGCTGTTTACTACCAAGCATGGTGGTTTCTACTTGAAAGTCACATGGGAAAGAATCAAGGGACAGCCTAGAAACAGTTGTTATGAGTAAAAAAGAAAAAAGGAGGGGCTGGTGAGATGGCTCAGTGGTCTAAAGCAACTACTTAGAACAAGCTTAGCAAAGCACAGGGACCGCGGTTCAATCCCCCAGCACCACATGCCAGCCAGCCCCGCCCCCTGGTGGGCTGAGCTGGCCACACATACACACACACACATGCATACATAAGTAAATAAATAAAAATTAAAAAAAAAAAAGAAAGAAAAAAGGACTGGGGCATGCACACCAGTGAGGGAGCTGGGCACAGAGTCCACGTTGTGGCATTATAATCTTATATATTCTTGTATGCTCTTTTTAATGGATTACTTCCCTTTCCATACTTCAATAAAAAATAATAGAAAATAGAAAATAAAAGATTGCATAAGAACTAGGAAAGTAAGGTCATTAAATACTAAAAAAGTTTTTTGAAAATTACAATACAGTTAGTAAAAGAAAATACAGTTAGTAAAGAAAGGAAAGTAAATACAACATAGAGTTTCAGCAATTAGAAAACATGGCAGAATTAAGTGCAAACATCAGGAATACAACTGAATGTGAATTTTTTACTTAGCTTTAGCTCTTAGGAGAAAAAGATGTTCCACTTGTATCAAGAATAAAACTTTGGACCAATGTGGTGATATAGACTTCTAATCCTAGCACTTGGGAGGCTGAGGCAGATTAGTTTTAGGCCCGTTGAGGCTACAAAGTGAGTTCATGGACAGCCTGAACTGTTTAGCGAGACTCTGTCTCAAAAAGATTGAATATGAAAGAGTAAAGCCTAACTCTATGTTGTAAACTATATAAGAGACACAGGTATAGCGTGCAGTCAGGGAGGCAGGGCCTGGGAAGTACATGTCTCCTCCTAAGCTGCTTTGCTCTGCTGCTACTAAAGTTGACTCAAGAAGATACAAAAATTATAAATAAACCGTATCAATCAAAGAAATGCAAGATATAATAAAAAACCTACTAAGAGAGAAAAGCCCTTGCTCGATACACTGCTGAATTCTTGGCAGTTCAAAGCTCTTGTCCTGTACCCTTGACATTTAAAGAGATACTTGAGCTAGGGAGATGGCTCAGTGGAATAAGTGCCTCCTTGGCAAGGGCAAGAGCCTGAGTTCAATCCCTGGTTCCGCCAAAAAAAATAAAACATAAAATAAAGAGATACTTGAGGATAAAGTCCTTGGATTACAGTTGATTTTATTGAGTTTCTTAAAAAAATATGTCTTTGTACATGATTTGTATATTGATTATACAAAAATGAGTACTTAATATTGTTTTGTGTGGTCTTCTCAGTAGCTTGGTAGTTTGTGTGTATTGTTTTTCAAAATTAAAATTTTAATTAATATCAAGTTTCTTAAAGTAAGATCCGGTAAGGAATTTAACTTATAATGACAACCAAAATTAGGCTCATAACTAAAATTTTTGTGGTTTTCCTTAGGAATTGAAACCTGATACAGTAACTAAATCTGCTCTTGGTGATGATATCAACTTTGAAAAAATCTGCAAAAAGGTATGTCTGCAATAGATTGTATTTGTTTTATGAGAAGCTTTTTAATTCTAATGCTTATCTTTTTCGTTAAAGAGAAGACTTATCAAGAAGCCAGTCCCTGTAAATGTATGACTTTTCCCTCACCAAGCTTCAGTATTGCCACTGAAAAATATTTTTTGATAATTTATGAATTTTACTTTGTTGTGATATTGAACTTAACATGATATTTTATATATATCTTAAAATTTAACTTTACTATTTTTAACTGGGAATGTAGTGTTCTCCTTTCCAAAAGTTCTCTTTTTTATAAATTCCTCATTTAATTTCTGGTTTACCTTACCCTGTTTATACTGGAAGAAAATAGAGGTCAAAACAGAATGTAATTAACTAATGATGGCCGCATCACTTGGTGGGCAGCAGGTGGAGGGCTTCTGCCCTGGCCTCTTCGCTGCTATCTCCTCCCCACTGCTTCTCTGTATCTTTGCCAGTGTTGCTGATGCCAGCCCAAGACTGTTTTGATCAAAACAGTTTTTTTCCTCCTATGCTTCTCTGATTCTGCTTTCCCTGATTTTTAGTCTGATTTGCATTTCTTTTTCTTTCTTTCAATTTTATTTTATTTTGAAGAATAAAATCAAAAGAAACAACAAATAGCAGAAACAAAGGCAGAAGTAACATACAGCAATACATAGTTACAGATTTTGAAAAAAAGTATAACTCATTAACAATGGTTGTTGTATTACCTGTTTTTATCAAATCTGTTGCTCCTGATTTGCATTTCTTTCTAACAATCTTTATATGTATATATTTGATGTGCACCATGCATATTGCCAAGAATTAAATGCTTACCTTAAAACTAAGTAAAATTTAGGTGCATTTGGGTGGCTTAAACTTTCTTTGTCACACTACTCATACTTATTTTAGGTCATTGTATTTATTTCCCTAGTTTCACATGCAACCATCTGTATGTGTGTGCAATTAAGAGGGAATTTTCTGTCCTAAGGTATAGCATGTTTAATTACTTACTGTTTTTGGTAGTGTATTTCTTAACATTATTTTATTTATTTATTTATTTTGGTATTTTAGGGAAGGGTCTACAGGATGTTCAGGATCTCACTACTAGATCAGACTCAGTGATTCGCCTGTTTGTAGCCTCCCAAGAGCTGGGATTTTAGGCACACACCACCACACCCAGTCTCAGTTGCCATCTCAGCGAGCCCTGGGGGGGCTGGGCCAGCACTGGCAGGCCAGGTCTGGAGATGGAACCCCTGGTCCCTGTGCCTGCTTGCGGGCGCTTTAATCTGCTGAACTATTTGGCTGGCCCTCTTAATATATTATGATCTTTAGCAGCTGCTTGCCTAGAATTTGTCATGGTGAACATTATTTCCATTCTTTCATTGTTCTTTTTTTTATGATTCTTCTTCCTTAGATGACTGAAGGATATACACGTGGTATGTCCTGGGACCAATAAATTTAGCAATTTATCTACCCTTGAAATAGGATCCAAGGACAGTGTACTTGAGGTTTAATACAAATTTTATCTAAAATTGAATAATACTATCCACTTAAAATAGACCTGAGAAATTGGATAAGATTGAATGTCATTAGGGCTCTGTTTTCAAGAAGAGAAATAATACTAGCTGCAATGTCGACACCGTAAAGCAGTTGCTTTCTCCGGTTGATTCTGCAAAAGTTAGCTTACATTGAAATCTCAGTAGCTTTTAAATGACTGGTTTTATTTACCTAGCCTCTTATAGTAATTTTATATATAATGTCTTACATGGTTATCAAATTAAATTTTCTATAAAAATTTTGTTTCGGTATAAAAGTATATTCATATGTCCTAGCTTTCAATATTTTCTAATGTTTTATCCAATAAAAAATTAGTATGCAGAATATAAGCAAGAATAGTTATTTTCCTTTCTGTAGAAAATACTTCATCAATTTTCAACAAATAATTCAAAAATCCTAGTTAAGTTTATAGTTAAAAATGATTAAGTCTTAAAAATTTTTATTGGGCTGACCAAATAGCTCAGCGGATTAAAGTGCCTGCAAGCAGGTGCAGGGGCAGGGATTCAGTCCCCAAGCCTGCCATGCCTTCACCCCAGCCCCCACCCCCCAGGAACACTGAGACAGCAGTTGAGACTAGGCGTGGTGGTGCGTGCCTGTAATCCCAGCACTTGGGAGGCTGTAAACAGGATGATCACTACAAGTCAGATCTGGTAGTGAGACCCTGAACACTCTGTAGACCCCTTCTCTAAAATACAAAAAAAAAAAAGAAAAGAAAATTTTTGTTAGCTCCAAAATGTCCTTCCTTGCAGTTTGCCACAGTACTTCTGACCCAACAAAATGGACTGTTTCTAGTTACCTTACTAAATGTTTTGAATAATTGTATGTGTTTATTCTTTCCTTTTTTTTAGAATACAAAATAATAAAAAAAAGCATTAGAAACAATACAAAGTTTCATTAAACAAAGTAAGAATTCAACAGTGGTTCCTGTATTGCATGATATTATCTTCAAATTAGTTGTTTAGGTTACCAGATATAAGCCTGTGAAGTTGGTTAAAAAAACAAAATAACAAAGAAGTTACAAGAAATTAAAAAGCAAAAGTAAAAACAAAGAATTAAAAAAAGTTTTAAGCATTAACTGCTCCTTTCCATAGACCAGCAGAAATCGGTAGTACAGTTATCCAAATTCTCCTGCATATATGCACGAGCATATCTTTTTGTCTTTCTTTTGTCCTTTTCCTTATTCCAGTTTTTCCTTCACATTGAACAAATTCTTTCCTTTTACAGTATGTATTGTGCCTTTCAGATTTTATTTACTCTGTCAGCTTCTCACACAAGTGCGACAATACAATGTTTGTACATGTGAGTCTGATTTATTTCATTTACCAATACAATCTCTAGTTGCATCCATTTATGTATAAAAGCCTTAAATTTATCTTTTTTTTATAGCTGAGTAATACTTCATTGTGTAAAAATACCACTTTTTTTTTTTATCAATTTCTCAGTTAATGAGCATTTGGGTCGTTTCTAAGACTTAGCTATGACAAATATGAGTGCACATATATTGCTGTGGTGTGATAATTTCACTTCTTTCGGAAAAATACATAAGAGGGAAATAACTACCTTGAATGGGACCTTGATTCCTAGCTTTTTGAGGAGTCTCCATACTGGTTTCCATAATGGTTGTACCAGCCTATACTCCCACCAACAGTGGAGACAGGTTCCTTTTTCCCCATACCCTCCCCAGCATTTGTTATTGGTTGAACTCTGAATGATAGCCTTTCTTTCTGGTGTAAGATGGTATCTCAGCATTGTTTTAATTTGCATCTCTTGAATGACGAATAATGTTGAACATTTTTTCATATATTTATTTACTTGAGAAATATAATAAATTATATTAATAAAATATATTAATAAATATATATGTTTATTTCTTTATTTGAGAACTGTATGTTCATCTCAGATGCCCATTTTTGGATTGGGTCTTTGATTTGGAGGCTGATTTTTTTTTCAATTCTTTATATGTTCTAGATAAAAGTGTTGTCTGAGGGACAGTTGGCTATAATTTTTTCCCAGTTTGCAGGTTTTCTTTTTATTCTGTTGGTGACTTCCTTTGATGTGCAGGAGCTTTTCAAAAAGATGAGATCCCAGTTGTTGATTCTTTGAAATATGAGCTCCAGAAATGTTTATTCTTGAAGTATAACTTAAGATAAAACCTAAAAGTAAAGCACAATTAATATTGTAAGTACTGGTACTAACATGCTATTTCTCCCAGTTCATTTAGTCATTTTTATCTTAAGCAACATTTCATAGAACTAATAATACACGTAAGAGCTTCGTTCAACTTTGGAGAGAGAGAGAGTGTGTGTGTGTGTGTGTGTGTGTGTGTGTGTGTGTGTGTTTTCAGACTGTTGTTTATATTCAGGGGTACATTTTGAAAATTCTTTGAAAAATGAATTTTAAATGCTTTTATGATAATAAACACCCATATGCCAAAATAAAATTTTCCTTTAAAAGGCAAGGTGTTTTCTACAGTTTGATTTGAAGCTGGAGACATGTGAAAAGCACAGTTTCCTTTAATTTTTTCATGGCAAATGGGTCCATTTTAAATAAGGAAAGTGTTGGTTTCTGTCATACCTCCCAGTGTTGTGAAGGCTTCTTCATGCAGGTGTAAAAGCTGCTTGTTTGTGGAGACTACTTAGCAGCCTTCTAAGGTTCAAAATAAACTTACTTAAATTTAAAACATATCACTGTAATTGTATTCCTTGTGTAGCTCCATAACATTTTCTGTCTCTTAAATGAAATGTGTCCTTTTTACCATGGGCAAGTCATTTGTGCATTTTTCTTGCCCTTTTATTTATAAATTATATGTTTACAGAGAAGTTATTCATCTTGAGAAAAATAATCACATCATAATCGTGGATACTTCTTCTACAGCCCTCTTTTTACCACCCATTTCTAAAACCCTTTTCCCATCTCCACAAAGTCTGTTCTCCCATTTCCTATTCTCTCTCTCTTATTGTGCTCTTTGAAGTATTTCTATTTCTAGCTCTCATTGAAGAGAAATCAAGGATGTTTAATCTTCTGTGTCTGATTCCTGCTATTTACCAGAGTGTCTCAAGGTGTGCCCATTTCCTGCAATTGCTTGTGTACCCCATTTTCTCTATCCGTTCTGTTCATGAACATAAAGGTTACATCAAACATTTAGCTCTTAAGAATTGTAATGCTGAGCCGGGGAGATGGCTTAGTAGGATAAGCGCTTGACCGGCAAACGCAAGGATCTGAGTTCAATCCCCGGTTCCGCCAAAAAAAAAAAAAAAAAAAAAAGAATTGTAATGCTGTACACATAGGTATGTATCTATCATGTTAAGATTTTTTTTTTTTTTTTTGGTACTCCTTCCAGAAGATATAAGAGGTATAGCTGGCTTAAATGGAATTTCAATTTATAGTGCTTTGATTATCATTTCTATCATGGCCAAAAATGTAAACATTTTTTGATGTATTTATTGACCATTTGTACTTTTCAATAGTATCTATTTGTTTAACTCAAGTTTGATTATGTCTTTTATTTCAGGGATCTAATTTTTAAGTTATAGTCACACTGAATAAATGATAGTTTTGTCCTCGTGTATAAGATGATGCCTTTATATGCTAAGGGCTCAGTAAATTTGAAGAGCTGGACATGAGGGAAGAAAAGGGACTAAAAGAGATTGGAGAAAACAAGAAAATGAAATCTTCCATTTTCCCTTGTCCTTGTGAGTTCTTCACTTAGATTAACAGAGCTGCCAGGCATGGTGGTGCTCACCTGTAGTCCCAGCACTCAGGAGACTGAGGCAAGAGGATTGCCATAAGTTTTAAAACAGCCTGCACTACATGGTGAGTTCAGGGTAGTCTGAGCTGCATAGTGATATCCTGTCTCAAAAACCAAAAACGGTGCTGACTAGAAAGATGTAGGTATGGTCTAAATGCAGAGAAGACCCAAACATTACCAAAAGAAGCAATCTTAGTGCACTTGCTTCACAAGCCTATTTAATTTAATGTTTATGTTTTTATTTCCTCCCAAAAACCTTAAAGAAAGCTGTACACAATTTGTAATGTGAAAAAGTGTTGATAGTTGAGTAGTAAGTGAAAGTTAAGATCAGAAGGCAATTTAGAAATAATCTGACTAAATTCAGAGCCTGATCTTATATCTAGCTTTATCTTACTGGCTATGTAATCTGGAAAATTAAGTCTGAATTGGCAGTCGTTTTCATAAATAAATCTTTGGCCTGTATCACCTTTATTAGCCCTTTTTAAAATTTAAACTTAAAAAAAGTTAACTGAAGGATTTTCTAAAAATAAAATTCTTTTAAAATTCCTTTCTTAAGAATAAAATAAATAGCTCTTGGGAGGTTGTGAACAGGCGGATCACTACAAGTCCAATCTAGTAGTGAGACCCTAAACACCTTATAGGCCCTTCCTTAAAATACAAAAATACAAAAATACAAAAAAATAAAACAAATGATGTAGGCATAGTGGCACATGCCCATAACCCCAGCACTTCAGAGGCTGAGACAGCAGGATTGCTGTGAGTTCAAAGACAGCCTGGGCTACATAAGTGCTTTTGGGCCAGCCTGCACTACATTTAGACTCTGCTAATTAATTAATTAATTGATTAATGAAAAATTTAAAATGTTAAATTTTACCGTTTTACTGCAGAATTTTTAAACTTTATTTGATTGCTATAATTTATAAAATTGATATTCTAACACATTAAGAAATGGGCTAGAGAGATAGCTCAGTGGAATAAATGCAAGGTCTTGAGTTTGATCCCTGGTACTGCCCAAAAAAAGACAAAAGAAAAAGGAAAGAAAAGAAATGGATGTGTTAAAATTTTATACTGGTCTTTTTAAGAACGTAAAACTTAGGGCTTGCCAGATAACTCAGCAGACTAAAGAGCCTGCTTAGGCAGAGCGCAGTGGCCGGGGTTCAGCAATTGAGACTGGGTGTGGTGGCTTGCCCTTGTAATCCTAGCACTTGGAAGACTGAAAACAGGAGAATTACTACAAGTCTGATCTGTGTAGTGAGACCCTGTAGACCCTGTACTAAATACATTTTTTTTAAAAATGTAAAATTTACTTCTCAGTATTCACAAAGCATTTATATACATAAGTCAGTAAGTTCTCTGATTTGTACTGTTTTTCCACATTATGATGTATCTCTACTCCTCAGATAAGCAATTTAGACTTGAAAATCAGTAATAGGACATCAGGAACAAATATGAATTAAATAAAATAATTAGCTAAATATAAGAACTTAAAAAGACAGATATATATGAAGGATATGTATATATTTTGCAGTTACTGCTGATGTTTGTGAATGCCTTGATTAAATAATTTTCATTTCAGTGAAAGTTCCAATTCTACATTGTAACTTGTTATATAAATTATATAATTTATTGCACTGTTATAGCCATAGCATTATAATTAATACTGGAGCATAGTTTTTTTCCAAGTTAATTTTGACACATTACTTGTAAGTGATTGATAATATTCTTTTTTTTTTTTTTTTTTTTTTTATCCAAAATGTGTTTATTGGGATGGCTTACCACTCATCTTGATTGAGGGTACTGTTAGTGCTGCTTCCTCCTGAAGGAACATCCTTCTGTGAGCCTTGCTTTCCCTCCTGTAGGCTGGCACAGGACAGTGGAGCAGCCAACACACAGAATTACCGTCTGTGCATGGCTAAAGACCGTGGTGATTTTATAGCATCCTGGGCACTCCACGTCCATGAAGTAGGAATTGGGGCTCTGCACCAGGCACTTCTTCTTGTGCTTCCTCTTCTCCTCCTTCGGAGAGGGATGAAGGAGATCTTTTGCGAGAGGCATGTTCTCGTGGGGAGTTCGTCACAGCCGGAAAGGGATAATATTCTTATTGATTGTGTTCTGTCTGTGCCAAGATTCCTCTTTAATTAAGGGCCTTGTTTCTGAAGAGCTTGCATTTCAACTAGTGCTCAGTGGGCACTAGTTTTGTTACTTTCAGATAGATTATTTACCATCTTTGGCTGTTGTTCTTTTCCCATTTGTGTAAAAAGGAAGCTTTCCAAATCAAACATTTTGATAATATATTTTAGTCTTCCCTCAGTCTTTATTGTATCAGATGAAAATGTTAGAGCTCATTCTCTGAAGTTAATATTAATTGTACACTAAAATTAGGTATATTTCATGCATTCTGCTCTATTAAACAAAATTTATATTATCATGTGGTGTTTTTATATTTTAATATAATAAGAATAGTTCATTCTCTGAGGCCATGGTATGTGGTGGCCAAAAATTTTCCAGTTTAACACTCAAAGTATAAAAATTGTGAAGAGCAAATAAGGATAGGAAAGAGGGAGATAGAATTTCTGGACATGGAAGACTGTAATAAATAATATTCTTTTTCATATATTTAGGACAGAGTCTACAGGGTCTCACTTTGTAGATGAACTCGTAGTGATCTTTCCTATTTTCAGCCTTCCAAGTGCTAGGACCATTATTGCAGATGTCAGTCATGTTCCTGTGTATCATTTTACTAGATACTCCTATTTCAGTACATAACTGCGTGTCTTAACACTGACTTCTTCCAGATTGCTTTATATTTGGTAATATTGCTGTCTCTAACTTTGCTGCTGACCACCCTTGTCATAATAATTCTATTATAAGCCTCTCCTCTTAAGGAGAATTAAGAGGAAAGATGCAAGAAAGAGAGAAGAGGAAAGTGAGGAGGATCAAGATCCTGTGTATATACATCAGCCCCATGGTGAATGTGTTTATCATGTTCTCTAGACATACTAATAATTAAAAAAAAAAAGAGAGAAGCACTGAGTGCTCTTTAAAGTGTCTGTACACAGATACCATTAGGGTACAAAGTAGTTACAGTACATGCCAATAAGAACATATTTTTGTTAAATAGATTCCCAGTTAAGTGAATAAAAACTTCAACCTGGTGTTTTTACTTAAACAAAATTGTGTTTCTACATATGTGAGAGTGTTATTTTAGCCATTGTGGAGGAATTGGGTACGCACCCATGGTATAAACTGAATTTTGGATTTATAGCTATTTAAAACTTGCCCAGAGATACAAAATGTGATACAAATGGTCATATGCCCAAACTTCATCTTTTCCTAGATAAGCCATATTTCTAAGAAGTATAAAGCATTAGAATATGTTTCATATCTCCCTTAAAAGCAACTACCTATCAACAAAATGCTTATTAATAATCTTCCACAAACATTGCAACATAAAACCACAGTTGTAAAGTAATAACAAATGATAAGATGTTAATTCATTGAATTTATACATAATTTTAGAATTATAGTATCTTCCTGTGATCTTTTTTCATAGAATTTACCAAAATGACGTTACTAAATCCTAGATATTCTAAGGCAAAGAAGTTACATTAATCAATAAATCTGATGATAAAATGATTAATAACATAGTATTTACTCAGAGTCAACACTGGATAGACGTTCAAGTATTTCCATTGCTCTTCTATTAGCTCAGTTGTTTAAGTGCCTGCTTAAGCAAAACAGTCAGGCTCAGGATGCTGTGGTTCGATCCCCAGATCCTCATGCCTTACCCGACCTGCCCGTAAGGCATCCTGAGCTGGCAAAAAAAAAAAAAAAAAAAATCCATTACTTTTATAAAACTTTCTGCAACTAAGAAGTAGGGATTTGTGACAGTAGGTATGTTTTTGAACAGTCATGTAAGAAGACATTTTAATCAAAATCTATATGGAATTCTCAAAATTTCTTATCTAAAACAGATGAGATTAATTTATATGAGAATAGTTGACTTCATTTATCTATTTTTCAAATACAGATGTTCCTATATTGCAGATTATCTTTGAAGTGAATTTTGTAGTAGCTCCAAGGGGGGGAAAAAAACACTGAAGGAAGCAGTTAAGGGTAAACAGATTATAAAATAGCATCTTCTTGTCCCTTATAACCCAAAAGGCAGTTTCCTGAGCATGCAGAACATTTGTTGGCACTGATTATTTGGATGTCTTTTTTTTTTCACTTTATAGCCAGATTCTACTGCAACTGAAAGAGCAATTGCCAGACTAGCTGAACACCCTGTACTGAAGAAAAAAATAGATACACTGAAAGGTATGAATTAAATGACTTTTAAATTATACACTTAAAGTACTTGTGTATATGGTTTTGAATAAATGACTTCATTTTAAATATTTTGTTTTTTCAGCTCTTGAGGATATTTTGTATTATAAATGTAAGGTTCTTTTTTTTTTTCCTACTGTGTTTTAGAGAAAGGTCTATAGGGTGTTCAGGGTCTCACTACTAGATCGAACTCATATTGATTCTCCTGTTTACAGCCTCCCAGGAGCTGGGATTATAGGTGTGCCCCCACCACACCCAGTCTCAATTGCAGGCTCAGCGTGCCCTGGGGGCAGGGCTGGCACGACAGACCCAGGGATCAAATCCCTGGCCCCTGCATCTGCTTTCAGGTGCTTTAATCTGTTGAGCTATTTGGCCAGCCCTATAAATGTAAGGTTCTTTCAACTGTCTATAGATATGAAAATGCCTCTGCAAATATTAAGTGTCTGGTGGCTGAAGAACTAAATCTGTATTTTTTGTTAAACTTTATTACCATATATTGTATAATTTATAAAACATATTTGAGGGCCTGGAAAGATAGCTCAGTGGTATGAGCACATGCCTGGCAAGGGCAAGGTTCCTAGTTCAATCCCCTGTGCAGCCAAAAAAAAAAAAAAAAAAAAGAAATGAAACAAAAAAAAAAAAAAAAGACATGCACACTCACACACCAAAAAAAAGTGAGTTCTTTTTATTTGGCCACTTAAAAATAGAGATATTTGAGCATGTCTTAATATAATTTCTAATTATTTTCTTACAATTTCCAAATAATTGATACTGTACTGAAACTAATATTTATATATTTCAATACTGATGCAAATCATGCACTATTTTTCTTGCAGCTACTGTCCAAGCCTTTAAAGAGGCAAGACAAACTGCTACTGAAGTTAAGAACACTGCAGAAGATCATTTTAAGGACACTTTGTATTCAGTTGATGAAGAAAGTAAGTCACAGCGTGAAGGATCTAAGACCACTGAGCAGAAATTGAAAGAAGCCAAAATCCAGGCAAAGAAACCAATAAATAATCCAAAAGAAAGAATCCCCAAAATGGAACATGGACCCAAAACAGTGAACATTCCAAATTCCTTGTCAAAGCCTTTAGAAAAGGATTCTATAACTTCCTGTGAGTCCCAGAAGACTCCTGCTGACCCAAACATGAAAGTATTAAGTCAAATAAATAAAAAGAAAGGATTGGATAGCTTGCTTGGTGATGACAGTGATAGCGAACAAGAATTATATGAAGAAGAAAAGGAGTATTTTGATGATAGCACAGAAGAAAGGTTCTACCAACAGTCTTCTATGTCTGAAGAGAGTGACAGTGGTGATGACTTCTTCATTGGGAAAGTCAAACGGACACGAAAGAAGGAAAGTAGTTGTCATATTTCAGCTGAGGAACAAAAACCTCTCCAACAAGTGTTATCCAGAGAAGATATACGTGAAACCCATTGGAGTGGGGATGCAAGAAATGACAAAAACAAGCCAAGTACAAAAGACATGAAGTTTGAATCATTGTTTTTTAACTCTTTATCTGGTTCTAAAAGTTCTAGAAGGTAATTTTTTATTCTGAAATAATTATCTTTTTTATATATTTAGGACAGGGTCTCACTACGGAGATTGAACTCATAGTGATCCTCTTTTTTTCAGCCTTCCAAGTGCTAAGATTATAAGGCATATGCCACCACGCCCAGTCTCATTCACCTTCTCAGCATACCTCAGGGGCGGAGCCAGCATGGCAGGCCAGGAATCAAACCCCAGCCACTGTGCTCTGCCTAAACAGGTGCTTTAGTCTGCTGAGCTATCTGGCTGGCCCTATTCTTACTTTTTAAAGATAAGAAGTAGCTACATATTTTCAACAGGGAAGGAAGAAGCTATTTCCGATGACTATAGTTTGCACCTCATCCTTTTTTAGACTTTTCTAGCTTTTTGATGAAATAACATGTAAATATACACATGGCAATGCCACATTTCTCTCAAGTTCATCATAAAATGAGTTCCTATAGCCTAATGCCTGGCTAACTTGTTTATTTCTCCAATTAGCAAAGTTTTGAAACTAAGTTAATTTTAGATGAAGAACTTTTAAAAAATGTCTTACATACCTATTTAAACCTTCTGAAAAAAGCATAATTTTTCTTGATGACACAGGACCATTATTGCAGACATCAGTCATGTTCCTGTGTATCATTTTACTAGATATTCCTATTTCAGTACATAGCTGCCTGTCTTAGCACTGACTTCTTCCAGATTGCTTTATATTAATATTACTATCTCCAGCTTTGCTGCTGACCACCCTTGTCATAATAATTCTATTATAAGCCTGTAAGTTTAATTCCATTTCGTATTGTCCTCTGAGTGAAGATATCTTTATATTTTATAGTAAGCATCATGGTTAGGTAGTTTGTTCAGTAACAACTATTTCTTCAGTAAACTGTTTTACTGTGTATATGGGTCAGAGATACTCTTTTATGGAATAAGAAATGTGGTAGAAAAATTTTCTAAAATAATAGTACAGAAAAGAACACATCTTTGGAGCCTTAAAAGTAATTATAGGGCCAAGGTGATAGCAGCATAAATGCCTGCCTGGCAAGTTCAAGGTCCCAAGTTCAATTCCTGGTACTACAAAAAAAAAAAAAAAGTAATTACAATATTTATATTGCCTGGGCTGGTGAGATGGCTCAGTGATCTAAAGCACCTATTTAGAACAAGCTTAGCAAAGCACAGGGACCGTGGTTCAATCCCCCAGCACCACATGCCAGCCCCGCCCCCTGGTGGGCTGAGCTGGCCACACACACGCACGCACGCACGCGCACACATACACAAATAAATAAAATTTTTAAAAAATTAATTAAAAAAATATTTAAATTGCCTAAGGGCCAGCCAAATAGCTCAGGGATTAAAGCGCCTGCAAGCAGATGCAGGGGCTGGGGGTTCCATCCTCAGGCCTGCCATGCCGGCCTCACCCCCAGGGCTCGCTGAGACTTTGATTAAGGCTGTAAACAGGAGAATCACTATGAGTCTGATCTAGTAGTGAGACCCTGAACACCCTGTAGACCCTTCCCTAAAGTACAGAAAAAAAAATTTTTTAAACTGCCTAATTCTGCCTTAATAGGCTGTTTTGCTTATTTGAAATTAAAATACCACTTTCCTTTCTAAAAAATTGTAAAACTTGCTCTTTGTTTTGTATCTCTTATTCTCCCAATAGAAGACTTGAAATTCTTCAACTGAATAGTCCCTTAGAGCAGTGACAAGATAACCAAAAGAGAATAGTTTTCAGTTATGAACAGAACTGTCTGTGAAGGTGGAAAAAGAAATAGTCACTGCGAAGCTGTTGTAATATTAAATCTGACAAATCTTTGAAGTAGCTAAAATGTAGATTCCTTTATTATTAGTGTGATAATCCTGTGGAAACACTAATGGTGTTTTTCTTCTTTTAGAGAGCATAGAGAGCAAGCTCCAAAAACTAAAATCTCAGGTATGTATGAATGGTTACTGCACTGTCTTGGTTACATTTCTCTTCTTGCTGGAACAAAATACCTGACACCCAAAATTAATGAAGGAAAACTTTATTTAACTCACAGTTGGTGGAGGTTTTAGTCCATAATCAGCTGGCTCCAAGGCAAAGTAGTACATGGCAGATGGCAGCAGTTCATGGTGGCAGAAAACAAAACCAGTAAGAGCAAAGGAAAGAACAGCAGAGAGCAAGCCTTTTTCTCTCTCTTATATTGTATGCAGGCTACATGCCCTATGGTAGGGGTAGCACTCACACCCATAAATCCCAACATTGGCCCATGAAATCTGTCAAAAGCTCTGGAAGCCAGCCCCATAACTACATGAGTCATGTGGGGGAGCAGGAGCATTAGACACAAATCATAACATTCTTCCCTTGGCCCCCCAGAGCCTCATGCACATTCCTTTATGCCCAAGACATTATCTCTAAGAGTTGCTAAAGTCCTGACAGTTTTTAAATTACTGAAAAGTCTCCAAGATATAAGGCAGATTTGTAGCTGTGAGCCCCTGTACAAATGAAGTTTAACACTTCCCATATTCAGCAGCTCAAGATAAACATTACCATTCCAAAAAGTACAAACATGGATACAAAAGCATTAGGACCAAAGCAAATCCAACATCCAGCAGGGCAAACATTAAGTCTTTAGTTTCACATTTCAACATTAGGGGCTGTCTGTGGCACATTATGAGCTCCATGTGGCTCCACCTCTATGGTCCTGGCTTCTCTCTTAGGCCTGCTTTACTCCCTCTTGCTGCTTTCCTTTGACAATCCACATTCCTGGCTTCTTGAAACTTCTCGCTTCTCCACTGCACCTTTAGCTTTATCCTCACATCTTCTCACGCTGCCCTCTGGGGCACACTGGCTGGCCTCCCAGGCCTTCTGAAATCTAAGTGGTGGAAGCCTTTTCAACCTCTGAACTCTTACATTCTGCAAGTGCCTGAAATCAGCTGCCAAGGTCCGAGGTCATCTGAAGGAGTAGCTAGGTTTTCTTCTGTCTTAGCTGTAGGAGTCAAGTGCCTGAATCGCTGGATCTTGTGTATCTAATTCTGAGGAACAAATTCTCTGTGCCACCACCATTCTGGAATATGGTGCTTTGCAGCTTTCTCCTCTAAGCAAAGTCTTTCACATTTGCAGTTTTGAGGCTGGAAAGGGTGCTCTTGTGATGCGCTCAAGCCATCTTTTCTATTTCACTGTTCGTTTTCCACAGTCAGGATCTCCTCAGCTCTGTCTTCGCAGTTTACAATTTTCCTGGAGCTTCCTTTCTGTCTAAATTCACAGCATTTTAAATCATTCTGCTGGGCTCTTTGCTCTTGATTCTCAACATAAATATGACTAAAAGCCCCCAGCAATAGCTAGGCCACTGCCTCAGCATTTGACTGCCTTGACATTTCTTCTTCCAGATTAATTAGTCTGCCGCCCTTAGTCTCAGGCGTAGACTCTGGATACAAGCAAAATGTAGGCAAACTTTTTGCTGAGCCATAATGTACATTATCTGAAATCCAGCACCCAATGTAGTCCTTCCCAGCAGAAACCTCCCAAGCCTGGACTGTACATTCAGAATTTCAATCAGCTTTCTGGTCTTCTGCGCTCTGACCAGACTCCCATACAGAACAGCCTAAGACATTGCAGCACTACTCTTTTCAAGCAACATCTCAATCTTTCCAAACTTCCCACAAGCCATCCCAAACACTTTTGAACCACATCGTCAGATGCAGTAACTACAACACCCCCACTTCTCTCGTACCAAATTCTGACCTACTTTTCTGTTTTTGCTAGGACAAAATACTGACATGCAAAATTAAGGAAGAAAAGGTTTATTAGTTCTAACTTGTGATTCAGTCCATAATCAGCTGGCTCCAAGTCAGAATGGCACATTGCAGAGGGCAGCGGTTCATAGTGGCAGAAAACAGCTAAAGAAACACGAGCCAAAAGGGATAGGCAGCAGAGAGCAAACCTCTTTCCACCTTCTGTATTGTATATGCAGGGTGGGTGTAGCACTCACAACCATAATCCCGGTATTAGGCCATGAATCAATCAAAATTCTATAAGCCTGCCATGAGGCTTTTGTGTGATCCTGTACACATAAACCATAACATGCATATCCTGTACACATGAGCAGTGCCTTGCCAAACAGGAAGAATTAAGCATTAATAATGGCTTAATCATTTAAATGAAGTTATAACCACAGAAACTGAAACAATATCGTAATTATCAGTATAATTTAAAATTTTATTATTCTAATATTTCTCAGGACATTTAATATCCTTGTAATTAAGACAGCACAGCGTATCTCAGGAGGGATTCAATAAACATGTTTTAAAAGAAATAGAAGTCCTGTGTCCCAAAATTAACTGGTCATATGTAAAATTTTAACTTAAGGCTGTTTCCTATTAGATTTCAATTTTAAATTGTGAGGTATTATCTTTAAAATTTCTTCCTTTAATAATTTTTGTGAAGGAGATAAAAATACATTTCTTTTTGTATTATTTAAGTAGTTTTATTTTTGTTTTCTCATATTTTACAGAAAATGAACCTCCTATTAAGAATCACTGTACAAAGAATGCACAAAGAAGACTTGAAAATACAAGCCAGCCATTCAGCGCACCTCTTCATCCTTCGTGGGAAGCAAGCAGAAAGCGGAAAGAACAGCAGTCTCTAACTGCTGTGTTTCAGGGGAAAAGGATTACGTTTGATGATTGATTAGTCCCCTTTTTTTAATGAACTTTCTACCTAAAATTGATTCCTTTTTTTTTCTAACCTCTTATTTCAAATTGTATTTTTTATTCTTTTTGGAGGCCTTATAAATTATGTTTGTTTTTATTGTGTTGTGTTTACATAAGTCTTTTATAAATTGAGTACATCCTTAAATTCATTTTTAATGGTATGCTCCAAGTTATTTCTTCCATAATAAAATTAGGAGATTATAGCAATCTAAGCTTTTCTCATTTGGGCTTATCATGAAGTATATTTTCATAGTTCAGCTTTGAAATGTCAAGTTATAGTTAAAATAATGATGGATAAAAATAGATCACCTTTATTATGTTATTATTAGCACACCAAAACTAGTAACTTTTATTCTGGATATACACATAATATAAAAATAACAAGTTTTTGAAAGGTTCCAGCCTGAGTACAGAGTGCTAAATTATTATTATTATTATTATTATTATTATTATTATTATTTTAGACTACTAAATTATTTAGGCCCTGATTCAGCATGGCTGACTCCCAAATGCAACAGCTTATTTTCCTGATAACCTCCTCCTCCTTCTTCCCCAGCCCTAAATACAACTTCTTCTTGCCTTTCCAAGCACACAAGGGAGCCCCCAGTCAGATCTTTACAAGCCACCAAGCCTGCCCCTCCAGCTATGCCCCTAGTAAAAGTCCAAAAAGACTTTGTCTTGGGCGAGAGGATCCCTCCCATCTCCCTGTGATACTCCCAGTGTCCTCAGAATCAATAAAGGCTCCCTCTCTTTTATTCTCTGCTGTGCCAGAAAACCTAACATTTTTATTATAGTTTTAATTATTTGTGTTCACATTTTCACTATCCTACAATATTTTTTCAGCAGTGTTTCTTAACTATATCTGTTATTTGGGCAAATTATTTAAATGTGATAATAGAGCCAAAAATCTGTTTTACATTTTATCATATAGAAATCAAGAATGTGTAATACTCATTATTTGTCTCATAGAGGCATTTTTTGAAGAATTAGATTGTAATTCTCAGAACAGATTCTAGAAGGAAGGGAATTTGAAAGTCTTTTCACTGGCAGCTGAGTGGGAAAGTTATGAATTTACTCCCTGAGAGGGCTATTTGTGTGTGTGTTTTTTTTTTTTTTTTTTTTTTTTTTGTGTGTGTGTGTGTGTGTGTGTGTGTGTATTATGGTACTGTTATTTATAAGGAAAAGAAGATATTAAACTTTGTACTGCTCTGTTGCTGATTATAGAATACTAACTGAATTCCATATTTACTCTTTTGCATTAGTACTAATAATGAATGAAAGGGAATGTCATCTGGTTAGCCTCACCAATTTTCAAGAGTCATCTCTGTCTCTTAAGAGTTTAAAAATTTAGATAACTAGAACAGTGGAAATGAAGAGATTATGTAGAAAGAAAATTATTGAATGTAATTGGTTTTAGTTATTTTGTTTTAAATTTTTTATCCAAAAGGAATTATGGAATGTTAACATTTGTTGGCTGCTAGACTTAGTTACATAGACAGTACTGTTGGACTTCAAGGTTGCTGTAAAGTTACTTAAACTCAGGTTTGTTCAAGTGTGTGCTTTTTTAGAATGGATCTAGAGCAGCCATTGGTCCAGGGCCATGATTCTCACTTGGCAGCTCTGCCCCGTAGGGCACATCTGGCATTACAGATAAGAAGGCAGTGGGGTGATGCAGGGAGAGGCGCTATATCCAACAGATAGACATCAGGGATGCTGCTGACTTTCCACAGTAAACAATAGAGCTTTCAAGCTCCAAATATTTAACAGTGCTGGGGTTGAGAAATCTTGGTCTAGGGTTCATTTGGCCCCAGTTACTGAGCTATTACCTTCTAATTGTACCCAAAACTTCCTCTATTAGGAAACTGTCATGGCAGATAAGATCACAACCTGCACTTGGCACTTTGCAAGCACCTAGGGTGGTTCCAGATTCAACTGTAGCCCTATATCCTCACCACCCCCACCCCCACCCCAGCCGTGGTAGGGTCTTCACTTCATAGCACAGATCCATTTTCTAAAGACTACATTGTACTTTTCTGGGGCATTTTTTTTTTCTTTTACATAATCTTCCCAATATTTTGCTTCACAGATTATAATTATGTTGTCCTACCTGAATTGTGAATTCTGCCTTTTTGGTAAGGCCACTAGAGCTTTTTCGGTGTTTTCCTCTTTTCACTGTGGTTTGGATACTGTTCATGCAGTGAGCTGGTATACTTGTAGCATTCATTGTTTTCTTTCTCTCAAGTATTACTGTCCCGTGCTACCTGTTGTCCATTGTCTGAATGCTGTTGTTTCATATATTTTGTCCAAACTTCTAGTTTTTCAGTGTAGAAGGAAAAATCCAGTCCCTACTATTCCATGATGATCAGAAATAAAAGTACTTTGTTATTTAAATTTGACACTATAGTTGTACAAAATTTGTTTAGTGGGAGCCTTTTCAATCTCCTGTCCTGTTGATTGTTATGTAAATCTCTTACAGTGCTGAATCTGGTTCCCTATTACTCAATATATTTACATATTTGCTTAAGTGAAGACTGTACGGAAGTTAATTTCACAATTGGTATCTGACCCTCTTCAAAAGAGATATCAACCATCCAAGTTTTATTTATTTATTTTTTTTAAGTAAGAGCTTCAAAAGACAAGTATGTGAGCTTTACCTAGGATAGTAACAGCAAAAATAGAAAAATAATATATGAAAACTTCTCTATAAAAGCAGTTGTAATACTTTCCAAACTATGAGAATCAACCTTTTTTGAGAACTCTGTTAATCAGAGGTTAACAGCAATTTATATTTATTCAAGAAAAATGTCTGAGTCTTGATACAAATAATGATTGCTGCTACAATGTCATTTGCCCTCTTCCCAACCCCTACTTTCCAGACCTATGGTAGCCTTGAAAATCAGCAGCCCACAGTCACAGTGAGTACCAGCAGCCTTACAGTCACTGGCAGGAGCAAAAGAGATCTGGGGCATCTGCAAAGACACCCCCTATAAGAATTACTGTTATTTGACCTATCTTGTTGTACCCAGCCACTTGCAAAACTTCATTGATTTGAGTCAGATCAGATGCTGCTCATTGTGATAACCCTTGTACCTAAGATAGCTTTTCAAAACAACCAGGCAAGGCTGCTGCAGGCAATGTGTAACTATTGAGGTAAACTGTAAGTTAACCAATAAATGTAAAAGAAAATTTGGAAAACATGGTATCAATAGAGAGCTTGAAAAGTTCTGGTGTATTTCTTGGAATCATTTAATGAGGCTGTGTACATGCTCAAGAAAGCTGAGGAGACTAAACTCTCACCACCAGCTGAGTTTGAGACAAGTGAAAGCTAAAGGAGTATTGTATCAGTGCAGGTATAATAGTCTCATGTGATCCAGAATTGTTACAGCTGTGTGTCCAAAAATGGAAATGTGTTCACATTTACAACTTTAAATATGAATGTGCATAATAAATAATAACAAAATATCCAAATCTGGTTATTTTTATGCTTATGTGTTTTAATGCCCTTTCTTATTTTTAATTTAGAATCTCTATTAGCCATCTGTACTGAAATCTTTTAACTTACTTTCTTGCCTAAATACCAGTTGAGTTTTTCTGTTTCTCTTATTTTTGTCCCTTTTACTGTATTAGAATATAAAACATATAGCAGTGTTGCTATACTACACATTCTTCTAACTGTAATTCTTCTCAATGTCCCTAGCTTAGTTTTAATCTTAGATTTTCAATTAAATATATTGATACTAAATATCTAAAGTTTCCTCAGCCTGTTGTTTTGATGTTTATTTTCTAGCAGAGTCCTCAAGAAATTCATGGAAAGAATAATTTTGAGTTCTTGTTGTTTAAAATTACTTCTGTGGGAGCCAGGGAGATGGCTCAGTAGAATAAGTGCTTGCCTGGCAAGCGCAGGGTCCTGAGTTCAATCCCTGGTACTGAAAAAAAAAAAAATTTAAGAAATAAAATTATTTCTGTGGTTTTGATGCTTTTAGAATTATGTCTGAATCTTGTGATTGGGGCTTTTTTAGTGATCTTATTCTTGTGGCAACAAACCCTATATTGTTGGTGAATGCCTTTTGGGATTTTGTTTACTATGTATTAACTTTTTTTAGTATATGTTTGCAGTACAGTCATCTTGGGAATAGGTACATGTATACAATAAAGCTTGTTTCTTTTTTTAATCCTCTTCCCCTCCATTTCATCACTTGTCGTCCTCTTTCCCCATTTTCATTCTTACTGATACTGTTGGTCTTATACTTAGGACATATAATGTTTATGTTCTTGAGGTTATTAGGTTTCTCTGTAGCATAACTGTATTCTACTTATCCCCTTCCCCTTATTGGTTCCCATGTAATCATGGAAATGTTCCTATACCCTTTCTGGTTATTTCTTTGTCTCACCAATATTTAAGTTATAATTAGTATCCTGACCTACCCAGAAATCTTTTCCCCAAAAATTTTCTTGGCTATTCTTACATGTTTTCTTTCTTTTCTTTTTTTTTTTTTTTTTTTTGCGGAACTGGGGATTGAACTCAGGCCCTTGCACTTGCCAGGCAAGCACTTATTCCACTGAGCCATCTCCCTGGCCCCCTACATCTTTTCTTTATAAGTAAATTAAAAAAGTCAGTCTATCAAATTTTACCTTAAAATTATGTTGGGATGCTATTTTGATTACTCATAGAAATTATAACCTACGAAGTATTTTTTTTTTAATGTGTTCTCTGTTGTTCTCTAGTTGTGTGGAGAAATTGTGTATGCTGAATGGGCCTCAGTTACAGAACTGCATGCAGAGCAGTGTTTACAGGATCATATTCAATAGCCTAGCATGATATCACCCTACAGATACTAAGTAGTCTTACGTTGAATCCTGGAATGTTGTTTGTACTTTGAACATGTGTTTCTCTTCAAGGGGAAACTTGTTTTGAAAGAAAATCATTCTCCATGTTGTTTTCATGATAAAATTAAAAGGATGTTTTTCAGTAAAGCCAGCCAAGACTTGGAGGGCCAAAGAAGGGAGGAAAGTTATTTGTGTTTATTTTTAAACTAAATACAATATGAATGCTCAGTAGTTAGCTTAGCTCTGTCATGAGCAGAAGTGTATAACCTTCACATATAACACCAATAAACAGGTTGGCCGAGGTCTGAAATACATGTGAATTAGTTTTTTTTTCAAATTATATGTACTGACTCTGATAAAGGAAAGATTATTCTTCAAAACTGTTAAGGATTTATAGCCAATATAATTGCAACATTCATACACCTAGAATTTACTTTTTTGAAAACTTGAATTTATTTTGTATAGTTTAATAGCTAAGGTCTTTCTCCTTGTAAAGCAGGTCTCTGAGCAAATACCAACTAGTTATTCCGTGTTTCTTTTACTTTTCTTCTGTGATATTAATTATCTGATATATATATAAATATAGATATAGATATAGATATATATAAATTTACGTTGTCAGCCTCCTTCATCTAAAGTACAGACTTTGGAAATACAAGAATTTTTTTCTTCTCTGCCATGTCCCAATTTTGAACAGTACATGTTACATAGTAGGTGTTCAGTTAAATATTTTCTTGCTGAACAATTTTACAGGTGTTTGGATACTCATGTATATACACAAGTGCTTTCAGTTTATCAGTGAGTCATGTGATCAAATGGATATAGCTGTCACTTAGGAGGCTGCTACAGTGATACAGGTGAGAAACCTTGCAGTTGAATATTAGCAGCTGACAATGAGAACAGGAGAGAAGGCTACAGACATTTTATTATAAAGAAAAATATGAATTAATCCTTTAGGACAAGTACAGTAGAGTGAGATAAAGCAGTATGATTAAGCATTGGGACCCATTTGAGGTTCCTTGTCAGTAGTTTAGTGAAAGCACTTTATCCATTTATATTTTCATTTTATCTGACCATTTTCATTTATTTCAGGCTTTTTATTTAAATTAGTTTCTAGTTTTTCATGTTAGAAGAATTAGCCTGCTAGAATTTCTGTTTTGTCATTGGTTTTTTGACTTTTTCTCTAAGCTTTTATTTTGTCATGTTACAAATGGTATTTGATCTTTTATTTCCTATCTGGTTATTATTGTTAGTATATTTGAAGGCTGTGAATTTTTTTTTTAATCTTTTATTTATTTGGTACAGGGTCTCACTACACAGCTTACACTCACAATGATCCTCCTATTGCTGCCTCCCCAATGCTGAGATTATAGGCATGTGGCACCACACGCAGTTTCAGTGGCTGGCAAGGTGCACCCAGGGTTTCAGGGCTGGCATGGCATGTGGTACCGGGGATCAAACCCTGGTCTTTGCTCACTGCTAGGAAGGCAATTAGACCAGGGAGCTATCTCACCCAGTCCAGCTTTGAACTTTTTTTTTTTTTTTTAATGTGTTTAGTACAGAGTCTCACTACACAGATTGGCCTTGTAGCGATTCTGTTTTTAGCCCTCTAAGCGCTGGGATTACAGGCACATGCCACCATACCCAGTCTTGATCTCTGTCTCAGTGTACCCCAGGGCCAGGCCTGGCAGGGCAAGCAGGGATAGAACCCCAGTGCTTGTGCCTTACTAAGCAGGTGCTTTAATCTATCTGGTTGGCCCTGTGAACTTCTATATGCTGGTTATTTGCTGCTTTTAGTTATTGCTCTTGAAGTTTCAGAATTTTGTCATTTAAAAGTATTAATAATTTACCTGTTATTTTTATAACTCTCTTGCCTAATTCAAATCCTTGGTACCACATAAAATACTTTGATAAACATAAAATAATAGCATATAACGACTTTCTTGTCTGGCGATGATGAGAATGCTTTCACTGAAATAGAAATCTACTTTTAGATTTAAACAGGTATGTTTTGTGATTTGAAAACTTCTTTAGTGAAATATATTTTTAAAAATAAGTAGTTAATGGCAACTGTTACTAAATACTTTTTAAGCATCTATAAAGGTAGCCATGTTTTGTTTTTCAGATTTAATGAAATGGAAAATCCATGCTTGTTACAATTTGACAAATTTGCCTGTTTTCTTTATTAATTTATCTTTACATTTATCTGATATGGTCATCTGAACTGAATTTATACTTTTCTTAAAAGGGAACCATTTCATACTTTTTTGTTATTTTTTCTAGATTAGTTTGTTTAAGTGAGATACTTATTTTTTCTTTGGGTGCTCTTCAACTGATTTTCTTGGCTATTTTGTCTTTTCATACCATTTTTTTTTTCATTATACTTCTAATATTTTTTTTAATTTCCTTTCTGTGCTATTTGGGAATTTTCTTTGATAACTTCACAGTTACCCTTTGTATTATAATGTGTAGATTTTCTTGAAATCTATATCTACTTGTGATGTTACAGAATAGTAACTATAGAAATGTAAACAATGAGTATAGCCATGTCTCAGTAATCTTTACCAGCAGAAACAGATGGCAGGTCTGATTTGTCCTGTGCTCTGTATTAATCCCTCCTTTATTTTTTAAAAAGAGAATAAAAAAATAGTTAAAAACAAAACATTAGAAACGATAAAAATTTCAACAAATAAAATAGGATTTGAGCAATAGAATTCAATAGTGTTATATTTCATAATATCTTCAAATTAGTTGTTTAGAGTACCAAATATAAGCATGCATAATTGGTATTAAAATTATAAGAAATTAATTTAAAAAAAGACTGGGCATGGTGGCTCATGCCTGTAATCCCAGTGATTAGGAGGCTGAAAACAGAAGAATCAGTATGAGTCCAATCTATGTAGTGAGACCCTGTAGACCCTGTACTAAATACATTAAAAATAAATAAATAAATATAAATCAAGAAAAAACATTTAACTACTTTCAGTAGACCAGCAGAAATCAGCAGTACAATTATCCAAAATATATAATGTGTGTGTATATATAAATATATCTTTTTCCCTTCTTTCTTTTGTTCCTTTCTTTTCAA